AAGCTCATACCAATAACAAACTTAGTTGGTCTCCAAGGTGCTACTGGAAGGAATTTTTTATTTTGTTTCAACTACAGCAGACCAACACGGCTACCTACCTGTAACTATAACTCCATTTATATTGTTCATTCTATTGGGCATTTAAAACAATTGTTGTGATTCCACACTGGCCATATGAAAAAAAAGGTTCATGGGAGGTAGTTACTGGAAGAAGGAATACTGGTTATGAATACTGTTTCATAAGGGGACTGCATTATTCCTGCTTATGCACAATGAACGATTTCAGGTACAGAAGATTAATACCTTCAGATGTGCTACTGAGCCCACACATACTAGATATTTCTAAAGAATAGCAGAACTGTTAGAACAAGCCATTAGTATCTCCATCCTTTATATAGCAGTTTCCTATTCTACAAGGACAGGTGCTGCAATCATTACACTACCTTTGTACTAACTTTTATTTATGTAAACTTCCTGATTACCATGTCCATTCAGAAGCGTTCATGGTTACTTGACAGTTAGCAAAGCTCAAGTCAACAGTTGGAATATTCCAAGACTTACCTCCCCACAATTAATTTAATAGTGTTTGTGCAGACTCCATTCAAAGCAAGAGCCAAGGAAACAGCTAAAAAACAAAATGAAACAAGAACATAATAACCCAGAAGCACAGCATATAGAGCCAGATTCAAGTCAGTTGTTGCACTAGTGCAACAGGATATTCCACCCCTCTCCTCTCCACATTCCCTCCCCAAATCTGTTCAAGAAGGTCAGAAGAACCCTCAGAATAGAGAGGAGAGATCATCCCTCCTAGCAAGCAGAAATGCTTGCACTGAGGGAACAATCTCCTTAGCATGATGTTGAATTCCAACCATACATTTTAAGTGTTCAATATGTTGAGAACTCAGAAATAGATTGAAATAAGAGTCTTCAGTAAGGTTAACTCATAGCTTGTAAATATTCAAAGCATGTGTGTGTGTGTGTGTGTGTGTGTGTGTGTGTGTGTGTATCACCCTTCCTTCAAAAATCACAGGGTGGTTTACAATCTAAAATATTGTATACAGGCTATTCTCAGAGAACCCACACTAAAATCAATGGGCAAGTTAGTCATTTCAGTAGATCTCCTCTGAGTATGACTTACAGTAGTCAGATACAACTCAAATACCCAATTCTCCTAGGTTTTCTTGCATCGTGGGTTTGTGACTTAAAGTTGCCCCTTTATTGGCGAGATAGATGGTTTTGTGGTGGGCTCCAATTACACATATAGCACTGATGGAGCCCATAAGGCTCCTGATTTCTTAAGCTCCACCTCAATAAGAGATCTTCTTCTGGGGTACGTTGGGTAGTCCCCCACACTCCTGAGGTTTGGTCAGCCTTTAACAGGGACTAAGCCTTTAGTGTAACTGTCAAATGCCTTACCAACAGAGGTGTGGCAGGAGTCATCCATGCTTTCTCATCTTTTAAACACTGTACTGCTTAGCAGGTCTTTAAAAGTCTCATTGTTTCTCCAACCAGCTTTTATCAAATGTTACTGTTCTTGTGCCATGCTTTCAGATTGCACATCACCTTGCTAGCTTTCCTATAAAAACATGGTTTATAAATATCTAAATAAAGTAACACTACTAACCAATTAGGAAACTGGGTTGTGATTCCAAAGTTACACTGGGAAGGTCAGCCCTGTACTGAGTCAAGGAGATAAGAGGAAAGTGGACAGGAGAAAGCATATGGGTCCCAGCAAGCCAGCAATCAAAGAAGCAACAACCGATAGCAAAAGACCATCTAGGAATCTTCCATCCAACCAAAAGGACAAGCAGGGGATGTTGGTCAGTTCATTAGCATCCAGAAAAGTTATACAGAAAACTGCCAAGTGCTGAGACCTACAGATCCTAAAAAGCGAAAGAAAGCTTCTCCCCAACTGCCTTGTGGCTTTGATTAAAAAGCATCCTGCAGTATTTTGAGATAGATTACTCAGGTGAGACTTGCTCCATGAGGTCTTGTGTTTTGTTTTAAAACAGGCATCCCCAAACTTGGCCCTCCAGATGTTTTGGGACTACAATTCCCATCATCCCTGACCACTGGTCCTAGTAGCTAGGGATGATGGGAGTTGTAGTCCCAAAACATCTAGAGGGCTGAGTTTGGGGGTGCCTGTTTTAAAATCTCATGATGGCTCTCTAATTCAAGGTGATGATTTTAAAAGGCCACACAGTGAGACTTATGTATATTTTGAACTAACTACACCTGGAATCTTACATATCCAGTGGCATGAACACTGTGCTAGTATGAGAGAAAAGCCCACCAATAGCTTAGTATTCCCCATCTTTGAGCAAAATATGTGTGGCTTCTCACTTGTCATAGTATTCCAGTGGAGTTCTTGCTCAACAACAAGTTATTTTGTCTAGTATAAAAAGGCTGTTTATGCAATACTATTTAAAGAACAGCATTTCATGGCCTCTGCTAACAAACCTATAGGGCTTTGTTACTCGGTGTTCCTTTCTGCAGAGTCATAGCACTGTGCAACACTGTTAGGTGGCAAGTTAGCACAGGGTCATCCAGCAATTATCTGAAGTTATTCAATTGTCCTGAAAATTTCTGAACAATCGTTTCTTAAGGGTTACTCGCCTCTCAAAGGATTCATTGGAAATGCAAGCATGTTGCAGCACAAGTCTGTGGTATCACCTTGAGATGCTTCTGGTTTGAGGAGCCAGAACTAAATTAAGGTGTTGCCGTATGAATAGCATTCTTTCATACTTTTGTGATTGAAAGCATCATTTTTTGCAATAGAGGTAGACAACCCAAGTAATGAAGGCTACAGTGCTGGAAGGGTCAAAGTTGACATTAAATATGTGCCATTCCAAGGAACAAGTTCCATGAAACAGCTTTGCAGCTGGTATGAAGAAAATAACTATGAACGGTAAATGAGCAGGGGATGCCAATAGTTTTGTGGTGGAATCGGAACTCTTCCACCCACAGTTCTTGTTTATGTTCACACTTCAAATGACTCAAGTAGGTGCTTTGAAATAGTGGCATGAGAGTACGTCCTCAGTGACTGCTCAAAGCAAATGTGCCTTTTTCCTTGTGTAGCATTTGGAGAGGCCGTAAAGATTTGCTAAAAAGCAAAGCCACTGAAAAGGCTAATGTAATAGGAAGGGACATGTAACTCTGGTGGTCTGGGCAAAATAGAGTGGAAAGGGGTAGAAGAAGAGGGATAGAACTGGTTTGATGGAGTGTAATGGGAGGTGACTAGATCTTTCCAGTCCCCAATTGCCCACAGGCTACTTTGACAGGTGATGCCACTGGCATGATAGCTGCTTCGGCTTCAAATGAAAGAGTAAAATCCTTTCTTCCTTGAAATCAAATGGCACCTGCAAAGGAAGATCCATTTTATTCCGAAGATTAATTCAAACTGGGGATACATAGGAAGATTTGGACTCTAAGAGAACTCCTGGATTTTTTGTGTACACACCAGGTGTGGGGATCCTTAAGCCTTTCAGAGGTTGCTGAAATAATAAATTAGTAGTAGTAGTAGTAGTAGTAGTAGTAGTAGTAGTACTGTATTTGTTTGCCACTCTGGGTTGCTCTCAACAGAATATTAAAAGCATGATAAAACATCAAACATTTAAAACTTCCCTAAACAGGGTGCCTTCAGATGTCTTCTAAAAATCAGATAGGCACCCAATTCAAAAAGCACAGAGTGTTGGCTGCAAACAAAGACTTGAGAGTGTCATACAAGTTCTTTTGTCTTCACTGCAGCTTCAAATTTCAAGTCATGGCTTGAACATTTCTGTGCCTGGTTATCATATATGATGCTGGGCCTGGGAAAGGTTGCTGGGCTTAGCCTAAAACTGCCTGGCAGACTGAATGTTAAGGCTTTGGTGTGAGGCTCACTTAGAAAGTTTAGAAATCTCTCACTCTTTCTCTTTAGATCAATTACCACAAGAAGAAATGTAGGCTTCTTCCAAATAGCTGCAGCAGAAATTCAAACACGCACACCGCTGCTCATCTCCCCAAGGACAGAAAGAAACACTATTTAATACAACCTTCCACTGCCACATAGCTTTCGCCCACTCCTCTCACCTTTGCCTGTTCTTTACTGCTCTATCAGTAATTTCTGCTGACTTTGAGGTGCCGGAATGAACACAGGTTTCAGGAGGAATAAAAGCTCTTGCCTAACAAAGCCCAGGAAATGTTGGTTGTTTTTGTTTTACTTTTTCTTTTAAGGGTATAAGAACATCTGACACATGCTTCCTGAAAGAAATAAAAATGTTCTTCCCACATTTTCTGAGAGCAATAGCTTTCCAATAAAAAACAAATAAAAAAGCAAGAATATGATTTTCAGTTTACCTAAAAAAGCTTCCTTAATTTCAGTCTTGTCTGTCCGTCGAATGATTTTCACCACAAAAATGACAGCCAGAGGTGTCAGGAATGAAATGGCCTATGAGAGAGAGATAAAAAGGCATCATTTGTTACTGCATCTTCTCTCCATCAGTCCCATGGAATTAATAATTTCCAGTTAGCTTCATTTAGATGATCTGGCTGAATTATCTCTGGCGAGTTCCCTAGATTAGAGCAAAGCTGCATGATCACTATCTGTAGCCAAATAGCACACATGCTTTAAAAAAAATAAATGAAAAAATCAGAGGCTTAGTTCTGAATCTTAACTGATATATAAATTGCTTGGAGCCCTACTTAAAATGTGTCAGCTTTTAAAATGGAAACTAAGAGCTAAAAGAGGACTGATTACTAAGTTGCATATCAGCAGTGTTTCCCAGAAATAGCTACACTGTTTGTAAGCCCCATGTGTGGAAACTCTGTGTGTACATGACAGTCCGGTTTGTACATCATGGTAAACCATAGTTAATGGTTTCCCATGAGCACACCAAACTGGGTACTTGCACTACTTCCCAATCACACCAGGGAGAAATAAGCCATGATCCGTGGTTAAATATTATGTCCAACCCAGGGAACATGATTTGTTTCTCTCCAACAAGCCAGAATCAGTAAGCCAAGAACAAACATTGGCTACATTTTGTTGTTTGTTGGGTTTGGATAAACTCTAAGGCAAGGATCATGGTTGGGTTCCTCCCAACACAAGCTGGAAAGCATGGGGCAGAGTGGCATTTGGTGCGGATAAGGAACTGCAGACAGAAAGGAAATCAACAGTCTCCTTAGGCTTGAGCATGAGCGTCCATGCATCCTTGATGTATGCGTTTATTGCCTGGTATGTATGGTAATGCACCTAAATGTTTGCAGCATCAGGATCTATTCCGATAGATAGTATACTATAAAAATAATGTTGCAAAGTTAAATAGTAAACTAGCCTGTATGATTTTTGCATTCTCCTAGGAAGCAAGGAATCCCTTGCTGCCATAGACAAAGCAAAGTTTGGCACAAGGATGTCAAGGCAGTTCATATTGCTTTGAATAGGTTTTCATGCTAGTGATATACAAAAATGCAACCTAGTGTTGTTGTTTTAAAAGCAACCATGTTGTTGGCCCTGGATACCACTAGGATGCCAGTGTAATTAACTGGCAGAGTCAGGTAGTTATTACTTTGGGGAGGGGGGAGCAAGCAGCTAAAAGACCAACAATAAAACAATTCTAAAAGACCAACAATAAAACAATTCTTTAAATACATTAATAGCAGAAGGCTGACTAGGGAGGGGGCCGGATCCTCTAATGGAAAGGAAGTCAAAGGTATGCTAAAGAAGAATAAGGAGATTGTGGAGAAGCTGAATGAATCCTTTGCATGTGCCTTCACAACGGAAGATATAGCACAGATCCCAGTGTCTGAACTAACTTTTGCAGGAAGGGAGTCTGAGCAACTGAGGGAAATTGTGGTGACAAGAGATGATGTTCTCGGCCTAATAGACAAAATTAAAAATCACCAAACACCAGATCCAGATGGCATCCATTCTTTAAAAACTCAAATTTGAAATTGCTCATTTTCTAATGAAAATATGTAATCTGTCCTCAAGATCAGTCTGTATAGCTGAGAACTGGCCAATGTAACACCAATTAATAAAAAGGGGATCCAGAGGAGATATGGGAAATTTAAGAGCAGCTAACTTAACATCTCTTCTGGGAAATCATAGAAAGCATTACAAAAGATAAAATTATCAAGGCATGTTCAAGAAGAACAAGTCTTGCTGAAGCAGGGCCAGCATGGTTTCTGCAAGCGCAAGTCCTTTCTCACTGACCTATTAAGTGTTTCTTTGAGAGTTTCAAGAAGCATATAGACTAGTTGCCGGAAACCACAGAAGGGTAGAGTGCTCTGGCAGTCAAATCCTGCTTGCTCATTTCCCACAAGTATCTGGTTGGCTACTGTGAGAACAGGATGATGGACTAGATGGGCCACTGGCTTGATCCAGCAGGATCGTCTTACGTTCTTATGTTCTGTTCCTTGTTAACAAAGGGATTAGAGATTTTTGCTTTTCAGCCACAATGTTTCTGTGCAATGGCATGATGTGTTTGTGGGGTTTCTACTTGGGCTCAGTTCTCCAAGAATTGACAGTGTTCCTGTTCTTGCTTCCAAAAAATAAGGGAATGGGCTGATTTACAGTCCAGAGGTCTGGTAAGTGGAAATGCATGGGGCCTTGTCTGCTGTGAAATATGCCACTGCCCACAGCTTCCATCACTCTTATCACAAGCCTCATAAGCTTCATTAGTGCTGGGACACTGCTACCATTCATCATTTCAACTTGTTCCTGCCACTCTCACAGAAAGGATTATTTTTGTCTTGAGATGGGATTACGATATAAAATGTAAGTCTAAATTCAAAAGGCCCAATTAGTTGGAACAAGACTTACAGTGAAATCCTGTGTATGTTTACTCTGAAGAAAGTCTCATTGCATTTAATGGGACTTACTCCCAGATAAGCATGTATAAGACTTTCCTTATACATAAGTTCTGGAAGCCTTCTCCATTGCTGCAATTATGTAGGCTCCACACATCACAAGGTTGCACCTGTGTTTACCATCCAGTTCCCATATACAACATGACACATGAGAACCTCATAGATGCATGTGCGTGCATCTTTAAAAAATATTATTATTCCAAATGTTTGCAGGCTGTTAAGGGGGAAGAAACTTCTGCCTCTTCGGTCTCTTATTTGTATAAAGAATTGCATTGTACCATATTCAGACAAATGAGCCTGCCTTTGATTATCCCTTGGATAAATGCGTTTGGTGAGTTAGCTTTTCCACAATGGCTATAAATCATATTTTTTAATGCTATAAATCTTTAAGCAACCTGTGTTTGTGTATATAATTGGGATTGGATTCTGAGCTGCGTATACTAGCGGTGTGGCATCAGCTCTGTGTGTTTATATGAATTACGTGAGGTGATCCATGTTAACAAGGCGTGTCAAGGTGGATCAGGGAGTTCCCGAACTTCTGAGAGACTCTGCTGCCTTTTCCTTCTTTTTTGTACATAAAGTCAAACTCTCAGCTCCCTATCCACTGCCTTACTTTGCTTTCCCGAGAAATGAAATGAAGCTGACTAGGGAAATGTCAAGCAGTCAAGAAAGAAAAAGTTGGGTCATTTGTTTTGACAAGCAGGTCTACCTTTTAATCACAGTGAATTATTCTCCCAGTGAACTCCAATCAAAGTTATTTAGGGGAGGGATGCTGAAGGAAACACACAGATCCTCCTCCTTATAATTTTGGCTGGGAAAGCAGAACAAAAGTTGTTGGGTTAAACTATGGGGGTGATCTGCTTTTCCCCCAATCATTCTTTTTCTCTCTCTTACAAACAGATTCCTAGCACTTTGTTTTTTCTTCATGGAGGGTACTTCCAGGAAGAGTGATGAGAAAAAACCCCTAACTTTTCAGGGATTTTTTTACTGCAAAGGTGAAATCACTGAGCACAATAGCCAGTGGACCTATTTCTCCAGACTTGTGTGGCTTTGGTACCAAGGCACCATGTATGAATGTTCCCTCATGTCCCCAGTTTTCAAAATGATTGCCCAAAACAATGTGAGAGAGGGAATGTGTCTGCTCTTTTCTCGTCCTCAAATGGTAAAAGTCTGCCCTTGCAGGGAAATCGCTGCCACATATTTTTCTGAAATTTGGCAGGCTTCATTCCTTCAGAGAGCATCCAATTCTGGCAGAAAATAGAAGAGGTTAAGTCTTTTTTTAAAATACAAAACAAAACACCAACACATAAATGCCTTGATAAATTTGTTTGAAATTTGGCTGGCACAATCCACTCAGGAAGGGTTCCTTTGCAAGCAAATGTCAACCACTTATGTGTAAAGAGGGAAAAGTTATAGCCTTTTTAAGATTCCACATTATAGCCAACAGGGCCAAAATAGAGTTTTGGATTTAACCAATCTGACTGGGACCCAAATAACAAATCAAATTGGAATGACACAGAGCAGATTTGAAACAGATTGGGCTGTAGAACCGCTCCAGGTATAGGGCGGTATATAAATCCAGTAAATAATAATAAATAATAGAACACTACAGATACAAGGCTAATAGTGTGATTGCTGCACACACCTAGCATGTGCATGCATATGAGACTAGTAACACCAGCATTTCCTGCAGCAACTATGATTTGTGAATATGACCTCAGTAACGTGAAGTGTGGAGCTGCTCTTGCAATAAAGAAAGCTGCTCAAAAGGTATTCCAAGCAGGTTAAAACAGGTCTCGTAGCCACCGGCAATCATACGCAATGCCCTATCCTGAGTTCCTATTAATATATGTGGGAATTCACAGAACATTTCCCTCTGTTGTTCTTTAAACTGCCTGAGGGCTGAACATTATTGCAGTAGATCTGTGGTTGGCTGTCCAGGTGCTTTTCCTTCATTAAAGAAAAGAAGATGCCACGTGGGGATGGGCTGCCAATTTGTCTGGAGCACATAACGGTCCTGATAATTTTGATAGGCTTCCCTTTATGTGGGACATGATTAGAGCTCCCTGTTCTCTCCCCCCCCCTTTTTTTTAATGAAATGTAGTTGTAGAGCAACACTGCCAATTTGTTGAGAGCAGCAGGTTCAATACTTCCCCCCCTGAAGTTTTCCCACTCAAAAATCCTCCCCCTCCGGTGGGTGTATGAACTCAACAGTTCTTAGTTTATCTTTTGGTTGCTATTTTGTTGATGTTGTTAATACTGTTCTATAGATTGTAAATGCTGTGTTGACTCGTTAATCATATGGCATGACTTTTGCTTTAATTGTGATTGTGACATTCAGCTTATTTTTTTAGTTGTTGCTTTGTTAACAGAGTTTTATAAATTGCAATTGTTTCACTGATGATCTGTTACTCTATATGCTTTATGCTGTATTTGTGATGTTCCATTTTCTTATTATTATTTATTGTTTGTAAGCCACTTTGGGACTCATTTGAATGAAAAAGGGGCATAGAAATATTAAAAATCAGATCAGTTAAAGCAATCAATGGTAAGCTACCTTAAATCTTTTTGTGACCTGTACCATCTTTCCCCTACATACCATCCTTTCATTTCCTTACATAGTATCAGATTTGCTGTCCTTTGTCTTAACTATGCTATTTTCCAGCAACAAAGATCCCTGCATGCTTGTCCCTTCCATTAACTGCTATAGCAAAGTCCCATCTTTACAAATTAGCCACCTAAGGTCGCCTAACTCCAAGGTCAATTCTAGCCCTGACAGCAACCAACTCATAATAGCATAATGAATAGTACTTTGTGTTTATGCACACCCAAAAAATGTACCGTAATTATAAATACAATGCTATGGTGTGCAACTCTAAAACATTCTTCTGTACTCCACACACCCCTTCAAGAGCCAAAGCTAGGGTAATTGGTTGTCTTTTACAAGTTGCTATCACTCCTAAGAATAAAATCCATAAAATAATCCTAGATGAGATCTCCTCTATATAATTCCAGGTAATGTTTTCTGTCCTGCCAGTGACATTTTCCTGGATAGTGGCTGCTTTCATGGGCAAGACCTTCTTAAAATCAAGCACATTCATTATCTATCCTGGCAGCTGAAAGATACAGAGCTGTACAAACCTTCCAGAAAAGCACTTCATGCCCTCTCATTACTTCAGGAAAACCCACTATCAGATAAGATTTAATGTGTGTGCTGAAAAATATTGATTTTCATTTAGGGCCACCTGGATAATATTTTTCCTGGATAATATTTTTAATAGGTCACTGCTGAACTGAAACATCCCCCCCCCTTTCCTTTTAAACAAAAAAGTCAGTGGACAACTGGGCAGCCTTACTGCTATGAAATGAAAGGAAGCCATGTTTTGCTCCTGAAGTGCAGAACAACACATCAGTATACAGAATTTGCAAGATTTTACCTCCCTCTCCAATCAGAGAGTAGATTCATACCTATGTACGACAACCAAGTACAAAATGCTTATGGCCCATGTCAGAAGTGAGGGGCACATTATGTATTAGGAGGGCTTGGCACAAATACAGGCCTAATCTTTTCCCACTTGACAACTTGTGCTTGTTAAAGAGAGAAGTGCCATGAAAAAAACATATGCATGCAGAGCTGACCTCAAACATTTGGCCATCTGAGGTAAAGGACAAGATAGTGCCAGCCATTCTGTGTACAGAAGACAACATGATTGGCAGTTCAATATTACTTCAGTGCTGGTGACAGGATCTTGTCCATACAGGCTATGGTGTTTTTTTGGGTGAGGAGGGTGCTACATGGTGCACTCAGCTCTGATCTCTAACAGAACAGAATGAGTGGTGATTCAGGATGAATGGCTACAGGGCTGTCCCTGGCATATATTCTACCTGAGGTAATTACCTCACTCTGCCTAATGGTAGGGCTAGCCCTGCATGTATATCCTTTGCAGCAACCTCAGCTATGCATGCGCCTCATGAAAGGTTAAGGAACAGAGAACACTTCTGTTCCTTTTCAATAGGAATCCAGAGGACTGAATCCATGTTGCAGAACTTGTCTGAGCAATGTCGAACAAAAAAAATAAATAAAAGCTAGCCTGCCTGCTCAATATATCCACTGGTGCTGAAAACAATTATATACTTCAGGCCTACTGGCTGGCTCTGAACTTATGGCAGTCCCACATCTCACATGGCAAATGCATGTGGTGCATACAGTATGGGCTGTCATCTCCCTCAGCAAACAGGTTTGTAGTACACAGCAAGGTCTTCCAGCTGTAAAACACCAAACTGACTTGGTAATATCTCCTGGAAAGCCAGATAGCATGACGGCACAGAGTCCATGAAGAAAAGCAGGGAACCTTCAAGCATTCTGGCCCAATCCCTGTTAGAATTACTCTACTGCCATCTGCACTGGGAAAAGATCAGAACAGTAGGCTAGACCGACCATCAGGCTAACTGCTGCAAGGATGCTTCTTCCTCTCACGCCTCCAAGGAAGCGTAGATGGCAATGATGAAACTGACAAGTTGGGGAGGAGATGTGGTGGATATTGAACAAGAGATGGGTGTTTAGCAGCAACTGTTTGAGTTCCAGAAGCCTCCTTTGATTTAAAACCACTATTACATCAATATTTAAAATGCTTTGGGATCCATGTTTACCTGACACAGGGAAAGCAGACTGGCACCAACAATTTTGGTTGCAGGCAGACATTTTTCTATTTCCTGGGGCATCTGAACAGCACCAGTGATATGATATTGTATGGTTAAATCTATTTCAAATAATGCTCTTGTAATACACACGCACGCACACGCACACACACAATCTTTGGTTGTAAATCAGTTTTGGAACTTCTGGAGAGGGAGTGATATATAAATCGAACAAACCTAATTTGACTGGCAGTCAACAATTTATAAAATGAGAACATCAATCAATCAGAATTTGTGACAGGGTGGCTTAAAGAAATGTCATACTGTCCTTCACCCCAACATGCAAATAATATTATGTTCCATTTATGTTCTCACTGCAGCCTGCGAACGTAACTGTTCTTTTAAAAATGCACTCATTTCCAGTTTCGCTTTAGCTAACACACAGTCATCAAACAAGCCTCACACAGCCGTCAAACAATCATTAAATCTCTAGTACTTACAAACATGAGGCGTGTAGGTATGTTGTCAGATTCAACCAAAGGGTTTTTATAGAGCCAGATCTCTTCTGGCTGAATTACTCTCTGGAATGGATCCAAAAATTCTGTAAAACTAAACAAAACAATAAAAGAACACATTGTTTCACCATGTACCTGGAGCAAGAGACCTCAAAAAGTATATCACGGGAGATTCCCGCTTGCCATAATGAAAGAGAGACATTGTTTAATCAAGCGCAAGCAAATACAAGGCAGAAAATGTTTGTTTATCTCCCTTCTTACCCTTACCCATCTCTAGAGTCCAGGGTGAATTCTATATTACAATATGCAAACAAAGACATAGCAAAATAAAACCAGACTAAGAAAACAGAATACATATTATGAGTTGTATCCAATGAAGCTGTTGCACTTGTGCAATGGAACGTCCCCTCCTACCCCCAGCAACCTCTCATTGTACACCCTCAAAATGGGTTATGGGATTCTCCAGAGCAGATTTTTACAGTTCGCCAGAAAAGTAGAAGAAGGGGAAGCCATGTTACATGAATGGTACTCCACTCACTGCTTTATATCTCCAGTTCCTTATACCATACAAGCTGGAGTTTTCCTCACACCACTGTTGTCCAAAATGAAAAGGTTTCAGCAGCATGAAGAAAAAAACCTAAGTTACGTGGTAAACTTACAAAGCAGTGGCAGACAGTATTTGGAGCAATGAGTCAGAGACAAAATGCCTGAAGTATTTTATTGTTGCCCAACACACTCTGGAAAATAACAAACTTCCTCACCAGCAACCTGCAAAAATATAGTACTCTAGCTTCCTTCTTTGCCAAACTATTAAGGAGGATTGTCCCATTGAAGAAATCTCTTGCTTCCAAAATTTGTGGGGCAGCAATATAATATTTTGGACCTTTTCCTCCACTTGTTTCCCCTTTGTTTGGCCTTAGAGAGTACAGTTGTGCCTCAGAAGTTGAACGGAATCGGTTTTGGAAGTCCATTCGACTTCCAAAACATTTGGAAACCAAAATGTGGCTTCCCATTGGCTGCAGGAAGCTCCTACAGCCAATCGGAAGCCACAAAAGCCCCATCAGATGTTCGGCTTACAAAAGAACGTTCGAAAACCGAACACTCACTTCTGGTTTTTGGTCGTTCGGGAGCCGGAACGTTCGACTCCCAAGGCATTCGGGAACCAAGGTACTACTGTACTTGGAACTACCTGAAAAGCTTCCACAGGGCAACCATAATATGTAAACTGACCCCCAAGAGGCACACATCTATCAAAGCTGCCACAAATGGCCACACATAGAAACACAGGAGCCTGGCTTAGGTTGAGTCAGACCACTGGTCCATCTAGCCCAGTCATTGTCTACATTTACAATGGCTCTGCAGGGTTTTAGGCAAGGCTCTGGCCAATCTAGAGATGCTGGCAATGGATTCTCTGCCACGCAGCCACAGCCCTTCACACTCATGAATCTCAGATCTGCAAACCAATGGCGTGTGCAGCAACAGTGGGTGTGGCCCAACAGACACAATTCTTCATTCTCTATCCAAGCAATCAAGAGCTATTATCACAGATCAGGGACACAGTCTAGTCAGGTTAAATAATTAGAGGAGGCTCCTGGGCCAAAGGGGACTGTAGCCTGGAGTGGTATAGCCTGGACTGAATTCTATAAATCCCTGGAAAGCTACGTTCACCCTCTGGGGCTGAGATTCCCCACCTGTGATCTCTTCGTTCCTTCCCACCTCCCAGTCTTGCATTGGATGGGTGAAAAACCTATTAAAAGATGTGTTCAGAAGCGTTTTTGAGCAGGCTGGCCTGCACAGCCTGTGGCCCAGCAAGCCAACGTGACCCAAAGACTCATTCAAAATACTGGGTTTGCTACCTTTCTGGGAATGCAAAAGCAAAGGGTGAGGCGTTGTCATGCATCTGACATGCTCGAATGCATGCTGCATTTGGCATGCCAGCTCACCAGTTTCTTCAGGCCTGCGTTACCTTTTGTTTTATAAAGAAAAAGTAAATGTAGTCACAGCAACAAAATCCACTGCATTTAAATACTGTCAGATTGCTGCCTTCTACATTTCCTCTTCTGTCTATGTAAAATGTTCAAATTATGTCTTTCAGCCATATGCGGGGGAGGGAGGGAACAGGCAAATTAACCTGATGAAAGCGAACAATAATCAACTAGAGTCACAACAGAAAAAGAAACTCCTGCTGAAGACTTGGCTGCAAATCCAAAAAACAAAACAGCACCGCTCCCCCTCCTGTCAAAAGACCAGATGTATTTCATGCTGTTTGTCAACACTTGTGCATATATGAACTCAGTAGTACAGTGGCTCCTAAACTCTACAGACCAATTATTGGAGGTCTCGGCAGACCACTTTTTTGCCTCTTTTTTAGCATTTGTAGTGCACGGTGCTAGATACCGAAGTCATCACTGGAGGCCTGAATGAAGCTTGTGGGCCCCTGGTGGTCAATGGACCTCATTTTGGGAACCTCTGCTGTAGTGTACGAATTATATTAGTGGGCCTTCTCAGTACTATCACCTATCCTGCAATCCCTGCCCCCCCTCCTCAGCAAAGGGCTGTTCGGAAGGTGCAAACTTGGCTCATAACATACATTGCACTCCTCTGTTTTATTGATGCTGTTGATGGATTCTTTGTTTTTACTGATGTATTTCTTTGTATTTTAAACTATAATGTGTGTGTGCGTGCACGCCATTTACTCTACTTTTTCTTGTCACTGGAAGGGGGAGGAGCTCTGGAAGTCCTATAGTGAAACCCTTAGTACAACAAACACCCTCTGCCAAACACTTCACAGGGATCGAAAGTCTATGGCAATAGCTAAATCACAGTATTAATTAATGATGTAGCAACCTTGTAGATGTGGCTGGAACTTTGGGCTTAATCACATCTCCATTTGCCCAGTCACTTTTCCCCAGAAAAACCCATCATTTAGCACTGAATCGGAACCAATAGCAATCACATTTTCCACAAAATTGCCTTTTGTTCTGATTTAGTGCTAAAGGGCGGGGTTTTCCTGGGACAAGCCAAAACTGGTGGAAATGTGAACAAGCCCTAAGCAAGAGAGAGTCAGGAGTGCAGACAGCAGTTTCCAGAAGACATTTCCAAAGCAGCCATCAAATTGTGAAACCCAAATAATGGGTTTGGCAAAGTCAGTTGTTATTGCATCTGCAGGATCAGTGAAGAGGAACATATCTTTGAGTATGTGCTAAGTTGCTGATAGTACAGTGGTACCTCGGGTTATATATGCTTCAGGTTACATACGCTTCAAGTTACAGAAATAGTTACAGAAATAGCTAACCCAGAAATAGTAGCTTGGGTTAAGAACTTTGCTTCAGGATGAGAACAGAAATCGTGCTCCGGCAACGCAGTGGCAGCTGGAGGCCCCATTAGCTAAAGTGGTGCTTCAGGTTAAGAACAGTTTCAGGTTAAGTACAGACCTCCGGAACGAATTAAGTACTTAACCCGAGGTACCACTGTATAGGTGAATATTTGTTGTTGGGCAGGTTTTATTTCCTTTGCACCAGGCTCCAGTTGGTGGATCTTGGGATTCCAGTAAAAAAAAAAAAAAGAGTTTTCATAAGTTTGAAGGGTCTCTTGCCTCTCCTCATTAACACACACACACACACACACACACACACACACACACACCAGAGTTCCTTCAGGAAAGTTCAAACAAAGATTAGTCCCAAAGACATACCGGAAAATATTTCACCAGACTTTCACAAAGGAAAGCCTGGCCTTTTTTCTTTTTTTCAGTGAAAATAGGAAGGTCTTTGTATTTCATCCAGAATCTCCAATCCAGAATACCATATGTAGGCTTCCAGCTATATATCAGTCATCAGAAACAAAATACTTACCCTGGTGTTCTTTCTTTTTGCCCTTTTCTGTACAGTTTGGCATAGAAATGTGTATTTGCTGAAGGCTATGAGCAAACATTTCAAATCTAAAGCTATGATACAGGTGCCAATAAGCCAATGGAACAATATTTGCAGACTTTTAGTGCTTTTTAATAAGACTTTCCCAGAGAACAGAGTTTTCAGTTTTCATGGGAAGTCAAGATTGCCACATTTTATAAAAATTGGTTTGGGTTTCTGTGCTTTTTATTTTATGCTTTGCTGGAGGACCCAACATGAAAGGTTTTAGACTCAGACCATAGTTAAGGGACAGGCTTGGCTAAGTTTGTTAGATGAACCAGTGAGGACAGATATCTGATTTCTTCCGTATAATTGATGTTTCAATTATTTAACAATCAGAAGGTAGATTTAGCATTTATTTCATCATATTCATGTTAGCTAGTTAACACACTGCACCCAGCCTCAGTCTCCATCTGCCTGAGGCTGCACCTTCTTACATAAACCTCCCAGAGAGTTTACCTCCAAAATATAGCAAGCCTCTCGAAAGGATATCACCACAAATTAAACTTGAGAACGTTCTAGAGGACAGGTCTCTCAAACCTTCCTTCCTCCCACAGCCACCTGCAAAGTGAGGCCATCTGTGAGAGGATGCACAGCAAGGCTAACTGAGGAAGATGATCTTAACAGGAGAGACTCTAAAGGATGGGAATGAACATGTTTGCAGGTATCGAGCCTAGATATCAAATTTGGAAGTAGAAGGGACTCCAGTGTAGAGAGAAGAGCTCCATTTTGAGAGACACCCTTTGGTATGAATGAAGGAGCCATGATGGGCCTCCAGATGCCCCTGGACTTATCAGCCCTGGCCAGCATAGCCAAATGCCAAGGATGATGGGAAATGGAGTCCCATTCTCAGCATGACCAATTGCCAAGTTGTAGTCCACATACCCCAGGAAAACCACAGCTTCCCCATTCCTGACATAAGGAAAAGGAGGAATAGAGGTTCCACTCTTGAAAGATGTGGAGCAAGCCTTCTTTACTAAATAATAATGATGCATGTATTGTAGATTACTTCCAAATATAATCTGGGGTAAAGGTAAAAGTCCGCTGGATGGTTAAGTCCAGTCAAAAGCAGTCGCGGTGGGGTGCGGTGCTCATCTCGCTTCAGGATGAGGGAGCTGGCATTTGTCCACAGACAGATTCCTGGGTCATGTGGCCAGCATGACTAAACTGCTTCTGGCGCATGGAACACCATGACGGAAGCCAGAGCGCATGGAAATGCTGTTTACCTTCCCGCTGCAGCAGTACCTGTTTAGCTACTTGCACTGCTGTGCTTTCGAACTGCTAGGTTGGCAGGCGCTGGGACAGAGCAACGGGAGCTCACTCCATTGTGGGGATTCGAACTGCTGACATTCTGATCAGCAAGCCCAAGAAGCTCAGTGGTTTAGACCACAGCGCCACCCGCATCCTAATCTGGGGTACACTACTTAGAGATTTTTTAAAGTATTAAGCAGTTCATTTAAATGCTTTTCAATAAATTGAATAAATACATTACCAACAATTCCCTCCTTTTATTTCACTACTTAAACCTCACCTTTCATGCCTTGAAAATAACCACCATAAACGTTAAGGAACCTTTGCATCACAAAAGAAACTTTATGTCACCTTCATGCATATTTAAAATACCACTTAAAAAAACCGGTTTTTGAACCTCTTTCTAGTTCCTCTGCAAATAAATGACCGATATGAAATTCCTTACTGCAGCTTTGATGAAAAGCCAACCCAAAAGGAGGCCAGAAGCTGATAGTCAGGGGCATTGGTGAGGCAAGATAAGTACAAATGCCGGTGTTTATCACTGTCATCCTGTTTACCACATGGAAGTTGGAGGAATTCTATTAAACAGAACAAAATGTTGCTGACCAGTTGTGCTGCTCAAATAAACTGCTTTTATTTGAGCGCAAAGACTCCCCAGAGCAGGGAGGCTGTTTTCAGGACAGTTGCAATTCATTAGTCTGAAGGGTGCAATAAAATAAACAGAATGCTATTACCAAAATATTAAGCTGGCATTGACAATGTCCCCCACTTCTACAGGGCAACATTCTGCCTTCTTCGCTGAATATATAAAGACTGCAACAGATTCAATGGAGCAGAGAGTATGGACCAGCTTCAGAAGCCCATAGGATGAATGCTGAACGAACCACTGTGATGGCTACTAACCCTTATGGCTTCAGTCTTCCTCTGTGCTGGTTGCTGGGAACAATAACAGCGGAGATGATGCTGAGCTCAGGGTGCTGCTTGTGGATCTCACTGGCCTCTGGCCGGCCACTGCGGAAAAAGGATGCTGGACTAGATGGGCCACTGGCCTGATCCAGCAGGTCTATCCTTATGTGAGTGCACACATTATGGTTTCTGTATGTATAGTCCCCACACAGAGGAGGCAGTTCATATAAATGGCCATAAGGTCAGAATCTGTTTGGACAGTTCCCAAGTGATGGGAGACACATCACACCAATTATTGCTGTGGACCCCTGTTCAAAGGATGTTTGAGGAGCTCATGTTTTGCAAATTCCACTAGAAGCTGTCCTGACCCACATCTCCTGGCCTAATGCATGGATAAGAATTCAGTCATCCATTAGGTTTTGCTCTTCTCGGGCCATTTCTGTTTTCAGCCGAAAGAGGCAGCAACAAGCATTTCAAAATCAACATTTTGAGATGAAATCCTTTAAAATGTTTATCTTGAAGAACAAATGTTTCCATTTAGATCTGAATTTTTTCTTTGGGGTCTTCATAAAAAGCTAAAAAAATAATGTGAAAACTGGAGGGAACAAACCTATGAGTGCGCACGTGTAAAAGTGGCATAGCTTAGGAAGAGACTGCTTTGTCCATGCCTACCCTGCCACCTTCATATTTTCCTGGGGTGAGGAATCTGTGGCTACAGGTCCTATCGGTTCTGACCATTGGCCACGCTGTTGCAAGTTGAAGTCCAACATCTGGAGGGCCAGAGATTCCTCACTCCTGATATATATCGGAAGGGTGTGAAGACAATAGATTTAGCATGGGGAGAGAAAGATGCTTGCCAGACCTGAGAGAAGAAAAAAACTAAATTCCAGCAACACATTCTATTTCAGGGGTGGAAAATTGGTGACTGACACCTTCCCTGTCCTGGCCCTTTGGCTATTTTTGCTGGTACTGATAGGACAAACAAGACCTGGGACTCGGATATAAGCTGCAAATAATACATTTTAAATGTGTTGTAAAGTGCAAGATACATATATGACACTAGTTGGCGACAGTCAGCTATGCCAAATTCAATGTATTTTTCAAAACGTTTTTTAAAAAAGATTTTCACAGCATTTTTTATATGTGCGTAGGTTCCACTCTGGAGAGCCACAGGTTTCCTACCCATGTCCAACATACAGCAGTATTTGTTCTTCTGAAAAACCATTGAAGTCTAGAATGCAATTATCTAAATAATTAAAAGCATCAATAATTATCCTGATTGCCCCCGCACTTCAACAAATGTCCATCAAGTATACTTGTTGTGTTCATGCACTACAAAGGCTTATTGCAAACCGTAAGATTTATAGTTTGACCAGGCTGTTAACACTATTGCAAATCAAATTTTGCCTCCTGTGTCGTAAAGGGGAAATGCCGCATGATAAGTTTCTGAACAAAGTAATATGCAGTGTTTACTCTCAGTTTTGATTAACAATCTATAAAGCAAACATGAGCCTCTATTGCTTTTGATTGTCCTAAGGGACAGAGGGTTCTTAATATTCAGCAAACACACCATGCAAAGAATTTAAAATTTGTTTCAGAAATGAACAGATCTAGTATCTCATTTTTATTCTTAGCCACACTGTAATTAGGGATTACTTTAAAAAAAATCAAAAAACCGCACCAAATATTAAGACAGCAGTAATGACAACTATTGGGAATAGATAATATAGTTTGCAGTAGGAGGCAGTCTAGATGACAAAGTTAGTAAAGCACGGGTCAAGAATCCAGGAAGCCCAATCAAAACTAAATGGCAAGTCAAATGAGATTCAAAACATAAAAGCGCATTCCAGGTACAGCCCAATGCTAAAATAGTACATCGCTATGCAAAGACAGTGAGTGCAGCAGCTGTAACCAAAGATATCTTTCTCAGAAGAAGCTGAAAACACCCACCCTCAAGTTCAGGAGTCCCCAAATCTTCTGGGAACAGGGGCACATTCAGAAATCTAAGAAATGGTCAAGAGCACCACAAAAAAGCAGGCAATACCCGCTTCCAAAAAATGGGCACCCAACCCAACAAAGGCCTTAGTGGGTGCCAAGAGTGGGGGGCATGCCCAGTGGTGAAATATTGGGAACCTGAGTCCAAGTAAAAGTTCTATGGCAATAAACCTATACACAGTTAAAAAGGTAAAGGTAAAGGACCCCTGACAGTTAAGTCCAGTCGCGAACGACTCTGGGGGTACGGTGCTCATCTCGCTTTACAGGCGAGTTTTTCCAGGTCATGTGGCAACGGAACACCAAAACCAGAGCAGCGCACGGAAATGCTGTTTACCTTCCCGCCAGAGCAGTACCTATTTATCTACTTGCACTTTTTTGGCGTGCTTTCGAACTGCTAGGTTGGCAGGAGCTGGGACCGAGCAACGGGAGCTCACCCCATCGCGGGGATTCAAACCGCCAACCTTCTGATAGGCAAGCCCAAGAGGCTCAGTGGTTTAGACCACAGCACCACCCACGTCCCTGGTTATACACAGAGTTCTCTGGGAGTATATCTCTGGAACTTAACATGCATTGACTTGCACAATTTTACACTATAAGTTTATTTTAAAGTATGCCTCATTGTTTCACTTGAACTTACTACCTTAGAAAAGGAGCACCTTTGAAGCCTGTAGCCCTTCAATTAGTTGTTTCCTGTTCATATTAGATATGAATTGGCTACAGTGGTACCTTGGTCCTCAAACGCCTTGATTCCCAAATGCCAAAAACCCAGAAGTAAGTATTCCAGTTTTCGAACCTTTTTCAGAAGCCAAACGTCTGATGTGGTTGTCAGCTATTGTTTCCAGGGCGCCTGCACCAATCAGAAGCTGCACTTTGGTTTTTGAACATTTCAGAAGTCAAACGGACTTCTGGAACAGATTAAGTTTCGCGCTTTTGTTTTTGCTATTTATTTTGCGTTTGTGGCTTTTTCAGTTAATTTGTTTTTGTGACTGTGTGGAACCCAGTTCAGCTACTGATTGATTCAGTCAGTGAGTGAGTGAGTGAGTTTGTCAGTGAGTGACTGCAGAAATGGATAAAAGCCCCCCATCCAAACAATGACTATCATCAGTGCAAGTAAGAATTTTTTTTTAATTTTTATCATCTATTTTATAGTATAGTACATTTATTGCTTTCATTTTATGGTTCAATGGTCTTGTTATATAGTAAAATTCATATTAAATTGCTGCTTTAAGGGTTGTTTTTAAAAGTCTGGAACGGATTAATCCATTTTCCGTTACTTTCTATGGGAAAGCGCGCCTTGGTTTTGGAACACTTTGGTTTTGGAACCGACTTCCAGAACGGATTAAGTTTGAGAACCAAGGAACCACTGTATTTAATTAGTCAGGTCCTCCTGTCAGGTAGGATCTTGAATTGTTCCTTTCCTCTTTTCAAGCCAGAGTAATTTCTCCTTCATTTATTTTCTTTTAATCTCCATTTGTTTCAGTTCGGTTTTATCATAGTTGTCGAAAACTAGTGCGGAGCAAACTCAACTGTAATTAAGGTGTATCCATTCTTAAGGAAATCAGCCCTGAGTGCTCACTGGAAGGACAGATCGTGAAGCTGAGGCTCCAATACTTTGGCCACTTCATGAGAAGAAAAGACTCCCTGTAAAAGACCCTGATGTTGGTAAAGATGGAGGGCATAAGGAGAAAGGGGCGACAGAGGACGAGATGGTTGGACAGTGTTTTCGAAGCTACGAACATGAGTCTGACCAAACTGTGGGAGGCAGTGGAAGACAGGAGTGCCTGGCGTGCTCTGGTCCATGGGGTCACGAAGAGTCAGACACGACTAAACGACTAAACAACAAATTAAGGCTATCACTTCTAATTCAGTGAAACAGCAGTTTTTATCCACTTCTTTTCTAACTCTCAAAGTAGCTTCCCCTTCCCAGAAATAGTGTCTCATTTGCAAAAGTTAAAACAAAGGATACAGTAATTGAAACAAAATATATCTTTGTCTTTTTATATAAAATTTTAGAAAACTCAAAGAGAATAAAAGGGTCCAAAGTTGTGGCTCCCTTATCCTACCTTGGTGAGCAGATAAATGGCTACAATTCACCTCCGGTTTTGATGGACATGGATCAAATGCATAACACACCCATTGGCCAGTCACATCTGTTAGAATTCCTGCTCCATGATTGCAGTCATGGGATTTTTGTCTATCACATGACGGTGTATGTTTTGACTCCACAGAGTGGGAAGTGACGGAGACAGGATGTTTGTGTTACTGTGTTCTGTGAAGTGGGACTATTGTCCTTTGCTCTTTCTCTTTGCTGTCTGATGCTAGAGAGAGGGGGAGCCATGCTGCAGTGCTCTGGGTGTGTTTATATGTAAATAAAGTAGATTAGCCAAAATGCTGAGTTGCTGAGGTCTGTTACGCAAACCGCGAACACTCTGCAGATCCCTCAGTGTGCTGATGTCTGTTGGCATCAGTCGCTGTGATGTTCGGGCTGAAGAAAGCTTTTGAAGCTCCCGAACGATCAACCAGGAGGGAGATAACATGCCAGTCAGGCATGTGTCTCTGCCAGGGTCCTACTCAAGAGTAGGATGAGCTCCTTACAACATCTCCCCTCCATTAAATAATGTGTTCCTCCTCTGTCAAATGGAAATTGCTTTTATATACTGTCAATCTGGCCAACTGACTCCACAGGCCTGGAGCAGTTACCAAGCTACGCACTATTTATTTATCTTCTCTCCTTCGGGAGGAAGGGAAGAGCTAATTTTACAGAAATCACTGGTGTAAGTAGGTAAAGGATTAGCACCCACTGTGCCCTATTGAGTCAAATGCTGGGGAAATATTATAGAAACTAAATTGCACTGGAATACTAATTGGCAGACAAAAAGTTATTAGAACACACCTGTATTTTCTGACAAACTTGGACTAGCAATCAGAAAGTCCGTCTCGCTTACATTTGTTTATTAAAATCAGCTTCCCAATGAAACACTAATTTGTCGTGCACATCCTCGCCTGGGTATCCCAGATGAATAAGTAGGAGTGACCTCAGAATGTTTAACAACGTTGCTTCTTTCTTTCTTTGTGGAACCTGACTCTATATCGTTTCAAACATGAAAAATTCATGGTTGCGCCCTGGAGATACTTTAAGGAAATCAGTAGAAATAATAAATTACTTTTAAAAGGGAATTTCAGTGGAGAAGGATTTGTCTTTGTCCTAGTCCAATGATACAGATAAGATAAAGATTCGCTATATATTCTTTCTTGTTGCTTTTAACGTCAAGGAAAATCAGCAGCAGTTCAAAAACTATGAGTTTTATTTTTACCACAGTCAGAAGCTTTCTGTGGAAAGCCCTTGAGAATGAACAAATTTTAAAAGTTTGTGCACACACAATTTATATCCAATAATCTGCTGATTTTGCAGTTCACAATTTATTGTAATTTTATGCTGATCTTGATATCCCTATTAGTCTCGCTAGGGTATCTGCCATGAAATATACAATCCTGATACTCTGCTGATAAAGGAACATCAATTATACATTTACAAACGACCAAAGTTTGTTGAGGGATTTGGAAAGTTGAGTGTGAATGTAGATATTCAAAGGAAATGGATCCTTGCCACTGACTTACAATCTACTATGATAAGCAGGTAGGGAGGAAACAAAGGCTTTGAGTGTGTCTGTGGAACCCAATAGGCTTTTTCAGTAAGCCACCAGGTGTTCTGTAAATCAAGTTCTCTTCTAAGCACAACGGGAGGTTATAGCTGCTTTTTTCTGCTTTCTCACTCAGCAGATGGCTCCCAAACCAGGGCAGGCTTACCTTTCCCTAGGCTACAGCTGTTCTGCAGTGCAAGATCTCTTGCTCATATTCATTCTGCCTATATTTAAGGGCCTAAATCTCACTGAGCGTCAAGACCCCTAAACAGAGGTGCCAACTTATGCCATAGGTTGAGGGGGCCCAGGGTCATGGGTCATGTTACACGTGAGATGCACGAGTGTGACGTCACACACACATTGTTGGAATGAGGCTGAGCAGGGAGCCATGCATGGTGTGGCTTCTAAGGCCAGCAGCTCATCCTCTCTCGTACTTGGCCTCCTTCCACAGAAGTAGCAGGAGGAGGAGCAACCAGCCACACCACCCAAGACAGCTCACCTCCCATGAGCTGGCACTGCTGTCCCCAAACCTAGATATTCTAAGGAAGATACAGAGGAAAGGAATTACACATTTGCCCCAACTAGAGGTCTTTGCGGCCCCTCCTCCGGCCCCTAGTCTGAAGATATAGCCCTTTTGCCTTTTTCAGACTCACAAACTGAACCCCAATAACATCTCAGTTCCTTGCAATATCATGAATTCTGCACATACAGACTTGATGAGGCTTTTTAAGACAGCACAGCAAGCTCCTTCCAGGAGGAGTCAACTTTCCCAGCCTATTTATGGCCCTGCAGCTTGTAGAGAGATATGGGTTAAAACCAG